AGCAGCCTGCTAAAGTCGCCCTGCTCTGGCCCCATCCTCACCGTGTTGTGGCTTGCAGCACCGAAGATGTGCGATGATTGACATGCATTTTGAAGTGGCGCAAACTAGTGGGAATGACAACCGTGCCCCAAAAAGAAGCGATTACAAGGGAATCATGAAAAGATCTGCTTTCATAGTGGGAACAACAGACCTTTTGGAATCAATTCACCGACACGCAACAAAGGTGAATCGCAAACCGGTTTAAATGTAAGTAGGAATGAGGCCTGAGAAAGAAGTGTACAGGGCAAGAACTGTGGCAGAACAGGGGATCTGCCGAGAACTTTGCCTTGTGTCAAAATACAGAACAGCTTGCTCTTTCTTTCCGTTCTCATGCCTCCCTGTGTGCAATGGTTCCGCCTGTAGCTGTGGGATTCCCCTTTCTGATCTTAATGCCCCTTTTAAAAATAATAATAATAATTACAGAATGCATTTATTATGCACTTTCTGAATGGGTGTAGGCTAGGACAGGTCAAACTGCCGGAATAACAGACAGGAGGCCCACCTTTCCTGTTCTGACCTTGGCTGAGCATAGTTTCTCTCCTCCCATTTAAAGGAAATGAATGGAATTGAATTAAGGAGGCATAGCTGAAAAATCCACTGCAAAGGACAATGTTGCTGCTGTCGGTGCCATCAGACTTACCAGGATCCTCCAGAAATCCTGGAAAATGTCATTATGCATCCAGCTATAACCAGATGCTTCTCCAATGCACCTGCTCTCCACCAGCCACTAAGGCTGCATCTGCACTGCAGAAATAATACAGTTTGACACTGCTTTGACTGCCATGGCAGAGTGTTATGGAATACCGGGATTTGTAGTTTTGTGAGCCTTCTCTGACAGCTCTGGTGCCAGACCAAACTACAGATCCTAGGATTCCAGAGCACTGAGCCATGGCAATTAAGCAATTTCAAATTGCATTATTTTTGCAGTGCAGATGTAACCTTGGAAGAGGGATTCCCATGGGAGGAAGGTGTCCTGCAGGCAAGAAGATGGGATGTGTGTGTGCCTGTCTTCTGTGCGTTTCCAACTTATGGCAACCCTAAGGCGAACCTATGATGGGTTTTTTTTGGCAAGATTTGTTCAGAGGAGGATTGCCATTGCCTTCCCCTGAGGCTGAGAGCATGTGACTTGCCCAAGGTCACCCAGTGGGTTTCCATTGCCAAGCAGGGATTCAAATCCAGATCTCTAGAGTTGTAGTCCAGCACTCAAACCACTACACCACATACATATTGTAATTCCACCAGGATACAACTTTACACAACGGCTTCTGATGCAGTGTCCTGACCATTGCACCGGTATGCATAAGTTAACAATTAGATGTGTTGCCAGGCATTATTTTTTCAACCGAAAATCTGGTACCAGATGCAGAAATAACATGGAACCAGAAATGAGAGGAGCAGGTTGTCATGTTCCAGCAAACAATTTATTCCAAATTAACCGTATGCACATACAAAATGAGATAACCAGGTCAGGTCAAAGTAAACAAAAACATAGTTTGTTTATGTGGGGTTTTTCAGCCTTTGACTTCATATTAAACAAAAAACCTTTTAAACCTTTTAGAGACCACTTGGAAGCTTTTCCCAAAAATGCATCCATTTTGTCTTCCCTTTCTTTCAGCAACCTCCACTTTTGTTATGATTTCCATTTTGGTGGCCACACTTACAAATCTATGCTTTTTCACATGCTGGCGAGGCAGGCTAATTGGCTTTCTCCTTTTCTCTCTCTTTTCTGTTCAAACTTAAGACTATCGCAAAGCTAAAATAAAATGGTTTACCTGAACTGACTCGGGCTGCATCCAGACCCTATCACGGCGATTTTGCCACCCAAATTGCCGCCTGAATGCAGCCCAAGTCCATCCCTGCTCCCAGGTGCCTCTTTTCAAAATTGGGAGTTTTCTGGCTTGGAAAATGGCTGCCGGAGCGCTCCTGGAAGCGGGGATAGCCCCAGGCCACATTTGGGCAGCAATTTCAGTGGCAAAATTGCTGTGATAGGATCGGGATGCAGCCTGATTTAAGATTAAATTTGGTTCAGGTAAGCCATTTTATTTAACAATGCGAGCTCCATGCTTAGTAAAGGATTCTGGAAGCAGCTTCTGCTTACCTTGCCTATTGTAGGCAGGCACACAAAGCTAGAAGAGAATCCTACTCTTTCCCAGCTCAAGCTTTATTGCATTGCTTATTGCATGCACATAGCTGTTACCTGGCACTATGGGCCTAAGCAGACAGCGCAAAGCGCCGTCTTCAGGGCAAGGAAGGGGAGGGGCAACCACACGCTGGGCGCCCCAACCCCTTCCCGAAGACATCGTCGGAGCAGCTGGCCCTCCACACAGCCAGCGCTCCGAGGATGCCTTTCCGCTGCAGCATCCGCACACGCTGCAGCAGAAAAGGCGCCGAAGGTGCGCTGGCAGCCTTTTGCAGTGCACCTTCAGCGCTTTGTGGAAGGAGCGCTATTTTAGCGCTCCTTCCTGGGGCGGCGAAGCTGCACCGCGGGGCCAAGGAATGCGGATGCCTCGGCCCCGATCCGCAGCTTCCTGGGGCGGCCCCGTGCCGCTCATCTGCTTCCCCCCAAAGTCTCTCCAGCCAGCCTTCCTCATCCTCCCAATGCTGATGTTGCTAAAAAATGTTCCGCTAGGCAAAGGACAAGGAGGAAAAATGGAATGAGTGGATGTTTAAAGAGTCTATAAAAAGGAGCTTCTTTGTCAGAAGTTTTGGTTACATCTACACTGGAGAATTAATGCACTTTGAAACAGCTTTAACTTCTACCTTTTAATGCTGTGGAATTTTGGCTTTTGCAGTTTTGTGAGCTATTTAGTCTTTCCTGTTAGAGAGCTCTGGTGCCATAACAAACTACAAATCCCAGGTGTCCACAGTATGGAGCTATGGCAGTTAAAGCAGTTTCAAGCTGTATTTATTCTGCAGTGTGGCAGCAGCCAGTTAACTGAAGGATGCGTATATTTGCCACAGCAGAGGTGGGCATCTTCGATCGGTCTGGTGCTAACACATGCAACCAAAAAAACCCAAGACAAGAACAAAACTGGAAGCAGCTGGAAACCCACTTCTAGTTTTGAAAAAAAAAAATGGGAATTTTTGATATTAAACACAGCAGGGCAGGCCTGTGACCTATTTTAAAGCATCTTAAACGGGTCTCAAACTGCGTTTTACCTTTTGAACCAGTTTCTAACCTCTTCCGTCGTTCCATATGCTTTTGGGTTGTCGAAATCATTTCCTTTATTGTTTCAAGTGGTTTTAATGTGCTTAAATCAATTTTATGTGTAACCTGCCCTGTGACCTCATGACACAGAGTGCACTAGAACTACTGAAATAAATAAATCATATTTAAAAGGTGGGTCGCAGCTCCTTGGAGAACAAGAGCCAATTCACTCTTCTATCCCCCCTCCCCGCCCCAGAAAAATAGGCATTCTTGGGGGATATGAGTGGAAATTGGGAGCCACTGAACAGCCATGGGGACCACACTGGCTGTTTGCCCACACTTCTGTTTAATAGTGCAAGAAAGAAAAATGCAAGCTTCTTTTCTGGTCAGGCATCAACCTCATTTTTAAGAGGTTAGAAAATGGCTTTAATCGCTTTATCAACAGCACTGGCTTAAGATCTCCCACTCCCATTTGCAGCAGGGTTTCCTTGCCTTCTTAGGTTAATCTGAGGCTTCAGTAATTTGAACTGTGCTCTCCACTTAGCCTCCAGTAAATGCAGATGGCAAAGCTGCAGGTCCTTAGCTGCTCACCTGTTGGTCCCTTCCTTCCAACACTCACTTCCTCGGCGAGAGGGCAGCGTTCATCCTACAGGAGTCTTTCCCATCTGCTTCCCATCCTTTATTATTATTATTATTATTATTATTATTATTATTATTATTATTAAATTTCTCCATATAATAAAACATAATAGCATAGTATAATAGCACATTGTTGTTTAGATGTCTTTCCAATTGATACATGTTTGTTGTTAACTGTCATCAAGTTGATCTCGACTCATGGCGACCCTATGGATGAGACATCTCCAAGACCCTCTGTTCTCCATTGCTCTGCTTAAATCCTGCGACCCCTTAATACCCAAAGTGACCTCCTTTATAGAGTCCATCCATCTGGCATGTGGCCTTCCTCTCTTCCTATTTCCTTCCACCTTTCCTAACATTATTGTCTTTTCCAAAGATTCATGCCTTTTCATGATGTGTTCAGAGTACGACAGCCTCGGTTTGGTCATCTTGGCTTCCAAGGAGGTTTATAATAATAATAATAATAATAATAATAATAATAATAATAATAATAATAATAATATAATTATTATTATTATTATTATTATTATTATTATTATTATTATTATTATTATTTATATACCGCCCTAGTGGAAAACCAATCTATTTCTGGTTTGATCTGCTCTAGGACCTATTGGTTTGTCCTTTTGGCTGTCCGTGGGATCCTCAGCACTCTTCTCCAGCACCATATTATCTCAAATGCATTGGTCTTCTTCCTATCATCTTAACTGTCCAGCTTTCACATCCATCCATGGTAACAGGGAATACAATGGCTTGTATGATTCTAACTTTTGTGCGGAATTGTATATCTTTGCATTTTAGAATCTTTTCTAGTTCTTTCATTGCCACTTTCCCCATTCGTAATGTTGAACATAAAGAAAACAAAAATAATGACCACCGAGGACCTTCACAAGTTCAACCTAGACAATGAAGAAATAGAAATAGTGAAAGAATTCCCATACCTGGGATCAAACATTGATAGAAATGAGGACTGCAGTCAGGAAATCAGAAGAAGACTAAGAATGGGGAGGGTGGCTATAGGAAAAAATTGATACATTAAGCTATATTTAAGTACAATGTTAATTTCTGATTATTCATTGATACAATGCACCCTCTACTTTAATACAAATTGATGTGTAAAGTATATGTTTCTACAAAGTTATATAATCTTCCTTTCTAGTATACATTTCTGGCACCCAAATCATGTACATTTTAAATTCTTTTATCATGTATATCATGATTTCTTTATATTTTCAGTCTTATCCATTTGAGATATCCTGAGATGGGGGGAGGACTGCCATGCTAATGCTAGCTACCATACAGAACCCAACATTTGCAAAAAATTCAAACCAGGCAGAGACAAGGCTGCCTTGTTCAGACCCAGACAAGCACAGCCAGGCGCTAGATCCCAGATGTTGTGAAAGTTGCCACTAAATTCAAATAAGGAAACGGTACAGGTTAAGTCTCTGATCCAGAATTCTGAAATCCAAACTACTCCAAACCCTCAAATGTTTTGCCTGGGTGGCTGATATAGTGATACTTTTACTTTCTGATAATACACTGTACACAAACTTTGTTTCATGCACAAAATTATTTAAGATAATTGCATAAAATTACCTTTGGGTTGTATGCATGAGGTATATATGAAACATAGATGAATTTTCAAAGATATAGCCGGGTTAGTTTGTAAAATCCATATGTAAATAGATCTTGTAGCCCCTTTGAGACTAACTGAAAGAAAGAAGTTGGTAGCATGAGCTTTTGTAGACTTAAGTCCAAATGCATGTGAAGAAGTAGACTTAAGTCTAGGAAAGCTCATGCTGCTAACTTCTTTCTTTCAGTTAGTCTCAAAGGGGCTACAAGATCTCCTTTCATAAATGAATTTTGTCTTTAGACTCAGATCTCATCTGCAGGATTTCAGGTATTCAAAAATCCCCCCTCCCCCCAAAAAAATCTGAAATCTAAAATACTTGTGGTCCCAAGCATATCGGATAAGGGAGACACCTCTCTTAAAATCCAGTTAAGATCAAACAGAACCACCACAGGGGATCTCTCACCTATCTAGGACCACGGGATGAGGCTTTTCTTAGGGTCACATGGACTGTTATGTTTTGGAAGATGCCTCATTCCAGCTCAGGCCATTGAATCAGTTTCTCAAGGGCTGGAAATTTTTATTTCCATTTGGCAGCATCTCATCCCCTGAGATTTCAAGACTACACCTGAGATTTCAAGACTACACCTGAGATCAGGAGGTGGGTCCTTGTGTTGTTCCAATTTGGAAGGGACCATCCTGACAAGTCCTCTGCCATCCCACTTTTCCAGCTGCTTTTAAAATGTCCCGGTTTCTCTCTCCTCCTCCCACTTTCTCCCCTTGTCCTCAGGTTGCTTCAATTGCTGCAAACCCAGTTCAGAGGGGGAAAGTAGTTTGCACTTAATAAACTCTGCAGGAAAAAGAGGAA